CCTGTTAATCTAGAGAAGAGCAAGAAACTGTGCTTCCAGAATATCAACTAACATATACCTGTTAATCTAGAGAAGAGCAAGAAACTGTGCTTCCACAATATCAACTAACATATACCTGTTAATCTAGAGAAGAGCAAGAAACTGTGCTTCCACAATATCAACTAACATATACCTGTTAATCTAGAGAAGAGCAAGAAACTGTGCTTCCACAATATCAACTAACATATACCTGTTAATCTAGAGAAGAGCAAGGAACTGTGCTTCTGCAGTATCAAGTATCATATACCTGTTAATCTAGAGAAACGTACAGAAACACTACAGACAGGCTACATAGGATGTAAACCAAAGTTCAATAAGACATAAAGTGCATATACCCAAATCTTCAACATTTACACCCCATTCAAACCACATAAATTAACCAAAATTATTGAAAACAAGAGGGTTTGTTTGTTTGTACTTAAGCACAAAGCTACACAATAGGCTATCTGTGCACTGCCCACCACGGGTATCGAAACCGGGATTCTAGCGTTGTAAGCGAAAATATTTACTTTACCGCTGAGCTACTTCACAATAATAATAATAATAATAACAAAGGCACTGGGGGGGGGCACTACTAAGTCGGATACCACAATTATCTCTTTTAAAACAACAATACAAATATCTAAATGTGAAAAAACATAGTTTACAATAATGTTCTTTCAAGCAGCTAGTCTTATAACAGTCTTTTTAAAGACAGTGATCAAACATTTAATGGATTCTTCTTTCAAGTGACTAGCCTTATAATAACATTTCTAAGAATAATCAAACATTTAGTAAATTCTTCTTTCAAGCGGTTAACAGGAACTCCATGTAGCGTCGTATACAGTCGTTGCTCTAGTCTTCACAAGTGTTTTTTAATTCTGCGTTAATTCCTAGCTCACTTGCGAAGGCTGCTCTACCTCGACGAAAGGAATGGCCAGAGAAGAACAAAGGGCTCAGACATGCTTGTCAACATTTCCTGAGAAAAATCAAAAAACAAGATGTGAGTTGGTCACGTTAAAACCCAAATACCAGAGCATGATAAAGGCTGATATTGACATACTTGGGGGAGGAAGTAAAGGATGAACTAATAAATTGTGTATGCAGGCTAAAATGAGGATTATATACATATATATACTTGTAACAGTTCTGTTCCTGAAAGGAAGTGGGGAATAATTCTCTTGCATTGTTAGGTAGAAAAGAAAAGTACATAGTCCAATCCATTTAATGATAATGTAAGCGTTTTATTTCTTCAAATAACAGTTTTACAACTAAGGTTCGCTGATCGGGCTATGTCCATAGCAGACGGTAAAATAACAATTTCACTTACTTTCTAGCTTGTCTAGTATATAGCATTTAATCATATTTCTTCGATCAAACATGAGCTCAAAGTTCACAAATCTAAGCTCATTAAGTAGCTGAAACTCATTAATTCAATAACCCATCGCACAAAATTACTAGTTAACTGTATCCTACTTCGCATTTCAAACAGTTCAAATCGTTTCCAAAACCTTGAAGGTCTCTACTACTAAGTCTGTTTGTTTGTAATTAAGCACAAAGCTACACAATGGGCTATCTGTGCTCTGCCCACCACGGGTATCGAAACCGGGATTCTAGCGTTGTAAGCGAAAATATTTACTTTACCGCTGAGCTACTTCACAATAATAATAATAACAAAGGCACTGGGGGGGGGGGCACTACTAAGTCGGATACCACAATTATCTCCTTTAAAACAACAATACAAATATCTAAATGTGAAAAAAACATAGTTTACAATAATGTTTTAACAGTCTTTGTGTTAAAAACAAGCTCCATAAGTCTTTATCTAAAATAATGTTAGCGTTCTAACATTTGACTTGAAATTCAAATTCTTGTGTGTACAATCCAGTACTGAGGACACAACACAAGATTGAAAACAATAGAATAGACTTACCTGTTGTTGAGTCTCGATAATGAGGTGCGATCCCATTAACTTACCTATTGGACGTTTCCACTTGCACGCTCACATCTAAGTAAACAATATCCTATAACTTGTGAATAGTCTTAAAAATATGATTTAGAAATTTCAAAATTTATTTTTCTGTCACATTCTGTAATTACCCTATTGATTAATAGTGTAGAAAACCAGACATGCCCTTAGCAATATTTATATTCTGCTTATACTTATATATTTCTCATCTCGCACGAATTTCTAGAGGCTAAGCATAGGTTCAGCACATTAATGCTTCAGTTAACCCTTCCGTGATTTGCCCGTGATAACTCCATGTTTCAAAAAATATTTACCCTTGTTAATTCGTGCAAACCATTTTTTGATGTATTTTTAATTATTGCCCTAATACATCATGTTATCATGTATTACGATAAGCTATTAAAAAACGAAATAGAGAAAAAAAAACTGACAAGGAAGGGGTTAAAAGCTTTGAAAATGCGCTATAGTACCGCGTATACATCTTATTTGTAATTGGGTATTGAATAACTAACAAATTGAATGTTTTTTTAAAACTATCCATTTCGTAAAAGAAGTATTGCTTTCAGTTATTGATCTTCAAATTAATAATACTGAATGGTTTTCTAACTAGTAAATCAAACAACAATAATATTTGTGTATACATATGTTTAATTATTATCCAGCTTATTTGGTATTTCTTTCCTCATTTACGAATGAGGGACTTCAATAATTACTATTTTAACAATCTAAGATTCATTTAAAGTATTTAGGCGTTAGATTTCCACTGAAACTCACTTGAAGTTCATAATGCGTATATAAAAGAAAATTACAAACTTTATCGTATTGTGATGAGAATATGAAAAAAACAAAACCAGTTTAACTTCGATTTGTTCAATGGTTTACTGTTTTACAAAACACAGATAAATTATAATATTCTCCTTACTGTTATTAAAGAATTACCATACAACCGGGAATAATTCAGAATAAGTAGAGTTATAAGAATACGTAGCACGTGAATGAATATTTCTTTCCTTTCCTTAGATGGCTCTTTGTTTCGTGGGTTTGTTTGTTTTGGATTTTGTGCAAAACTACACAGGACCTATCTGCGCTAACCATTTCTAATTTTGAACTGATAGAATAGAGATAAAGCAGGTAGACAATATCACTTACCGCCATCTCTTGGGTTTTGACAATTTCTCTTATAACACACCCATGGCCAAAAAAAAGACTGAACGCAATTTTAAAGCACCAGGAGGTGAACATTGTATTCTCACATAGCAGTCCATTCGCTAATCACAAAGGCACGTGGGGCCACGATATAACCTGGACAATAGCAACTCTAAGACATACCCTTCATCTCCTTGCATAGTCAGAACAGTAACAAGTGTGAGACATGAAATGGTTTCCGACCTTCTCAGTTCCTTCTCCTGGATTAAGAGTGATATAGTTACGTAAGCATATTTGTAGAAAACGCTTTGCTCATACACGCTTACACACACAATATACATCAACTAACGAACTCACGGATTCTCTAACCAACTAAGATTCTTGAAGTCTAATTTTGAGGCTGTCATTTCATTTACCGATCGCCCCCTCCCCCAGTGGACAACGGTATGCCTGCTGACTTACAACGCTAGAAACCAGTTTTCGATACCCTTGGTGGGCAGAGCACAGATAGCCCATTGTATAGTTTGTGCTTAACTACAAACAAACAAACATTTACCTATCTCACGCATTTCTTAGTGCCCATTGACACATCATGGTGATTAGACGTGACACGCTAACCACAACATGAGAAGTGTCTATGATAAATAAAAAAGTTGCGTCTTTAACAGTCTCTGTACAATATTTATTGTTATGGCGTTGGATTTAAATACAGCATACATTTTGTTGCACGAAACTCATAAACATTACAGTGGTGTGAAAATGCCAAGTAGTATTAAACGTCGGACGCAATCAAAGACAGATGAGATAAAATTATGCCAAATAGTGTTAACGTAAACAAGAACAGGTAACGTAAAACGATGCCAAGTGGCGTTGGACGCAATCAGAAACGGGTATGTTAAGATGATGTCAAGTGGTGATAGACGCAATCATAAGCAGGTAAGATAAAATTATGCCAAATAGTGTTAACGTAAACAAGAACAGGTAACATAAAACGATGGCAAGTGGCGTTGGACGCAATTAGAAACGGGTACGATAAGATGATGTCAAGTGGTGATAGACGCAATCATAAGCAGGTGAGATAAAACAATTCCAGGTGGTGTTGGACGCAATCAGAAGTGGTTAAGATAAAATAATATTTTATTACAATTTAAGGCTTTTACCTAAGTAAGATTTGTTTTAGAACATGTACGACGTTTCGATCACTGGTGCGATCATTCTCAAGTACACAAGTTTTAAAAACAAATCTTACTTACCTGTAATAAAATATATTTAACCAGTAAGTAAACTCAAAACGAAACTAAGATAAAATAATGTAACAATCATAAGCAGGTAAGATAAAATGATGCCAAATAGTGTTAACGTAAACAGGAACAGGTAACATAAAACGATGCCAAGTAGTATTAAACGTCAGACGCAATCAAAGACAGATGAGATAAAATTATGCCAAATAGTGTTAACGTAAACACGAACAGGTAACATAAAACGATGCCAAGTAGTATTAAACGTCGGACGCAATCAGAGACAGGTAAGATAAAATTATGCCAAATAGTGTTAACGTAAACAGGAACAGGTAACATAAAACGCGATGCCAAGTGGCGTTGGACGCAATCAGAAACGGGTACGATAAGATGAAGTCAAGTGGTGACAGACGTTAACGTAAACAGGAACAGGTAACATAAAACTGACAAACATCGGCTGTGTTAGAATCTAATGGATTAATCTTCTTTCAAACTAATCTATGATTACTGATGTTTTGACGGAATACTGACAAACATTGGTTATGCTAGAACCTAGTGGATTAACCTTCTTAGAATTAAGTAAGATTTAGAGCATTCTAGACAATTTTACATGTGTTAGATTCTTGTGGATTATCCCTCTTACAATTAGGTGAGGTTTTAGAGTATTCTAGACAATTTTACATGTGTTAGATTCTTGTGGATTATCCCTCTTACAATTAGGTGAGGTTTTAGAGTATTCTAGACAATTTTACATGTGTTAGATTCTTGTGGATTGACCTTCTTACAATTAGATGAGGTTTTAGAGTATTCTAGATTATTTTACATGTCCAGAAGTAGATTCCTAGTTAATTAATTGTTCTTGTTACTGCTGAAGCTGCATCACGGTGCTATTAGATCGAAAGTGGGTGTATTGTTGCCCAAGAATCTGCTAAATAATCAGCAATCAATAAAAGATTTTAGTAGGCTTGTAATGTAATCGTGTATTATTTCATAACTAAGTCTAGTCAGGAATTTTCAGGTTATTCTTACATGTAAAAACAGCTTATTTTTGTATGTCATACTTTTCGCTGTCAATATCAGCTGAATTAGCGCATAAACAAGATAAACGTAGAATAGCAGTAGAAATAATGGATTTCTTTAAAGGATAAAAACATTAAAGATTTTGATTCGAGTTGTTTTATTTAAGTAGCTTTTAAATATTCGTGTCACGTGGAGCTGAAAGTAATCATAAACAGATAAGATAAAATGATACTAAGTAGTGTCAGACGCAATCAAAGGCAAGAAAGATAAAATGATGCCAAGTAGTATTAAACATCGGACGCAATCAGAGACAGGTAAGATAAAATGATGCCAAATAGTGTTAACGTAAACAGGAACAGGTAAGATAAAATGATGCCAAATAGTTATTCCCTCAAAACGTCAGTAACCATATATT